GTAGCTGCTGAAACAACTGGTTATGCAGAACAGCTAAATGTTTTATTTAATTGTCAATATAATACCCAGTGTGGGCCTATATGAAAGCAGAATCTCTCTGATTGTCAGAAATGCCAATCCCTATATTGATTTTGTAAGGTATTATATTAGGGGGTTAGGGGCTGTGTTATATTCTTTATTTTAAAGGAAAAATAACAAATCTTTAGTTAGTGATGTTAATCTAAGTAGGGTACATTGTAACTGCTATGCTGTAACGGTTGATCTTTGGCGTGTTATAAAAGAAATCTGAAATTATTACTTGTGAATGGGTAACTGTCTTATGGTAAAGACTGGTACTGGATTCCTAGGAAGAGAAAGAAAGTGAATCCTATTATAATTTTCACTTCTGGTATTTGGAAAGGATCCTACAAAAAAATCTCTTGCAAGGATAGAAATTCTTGGTCTGTGCAAATACTTGAAGTCAGAGAGAAGAACTCTGTAGCACAGAATTGGTAAGTAAATTGACTTACCTCCCCTCTAAGTAGCTTACAGTAGTTTTGCTTCGTTGTGTGTCTCCGTTGTTGTCACCCCCACACAAGGTAATTTGGAAAGCATTTTATGATAGTGGTCTGACAGATAAGGAAAATGGGGTTTGCAAACCTGCTTCAGCTATTTCCTTCCCCATCCCAACAAAGACTATGACTATCTCAGGTGATTTTCAAACTTTTCTATACTCTGACCTTCTGTTAAAAAGTTTAGGAAACCCCTTCCTGTTTAGCTATAAAGAAAGGGAGGGTGGTCTCAATCCGCTGGTCATGACCCCAGGTTGAGATCTATCCAGCCTTTGCAACTAACTACGCACCCTAGCACCTTCCCTTTGTTCATTCAAATTGTTCAGTAAAACACATATGAGCTAAGTCCAGTTCTGCTGGTTCTCACCTATTTAGACAAACCAGCATGTCCTTTGTCATGCCCCACACTCTAGACTGTTCTTGACATGTTCTAGTCTACAGCACACAAAAGGGCTGGAAAAATCTTCCTACTGCTCGCCATGCACTACAGGAACTGACACATCTGAAAGGAACTGAGGTGAATATGAGGTGACTTTTTATGGCCAGCTTGTGGGTTGCAGATCAAAACATGAAGGTAGAGGGCCAAGAGGGTGTAGCAATATTACTGCTAAACCTACCATCTATGTGTGTGTGTGTGTCTCTCTCTCTCTGTTTCACTCTAGAATGTCGGCCCAGAACCTTCACCTGACCCTCTGCCTGGCTTTCTGCTATTGGTTCAAAACAACAAACCACTCCTCACACAATGGGAATTCTGAGGCCATTTGATAACATGAGGGAAGCCCTCAACTCATCATTCATGGAGGACTCCTGACTCTGGCCAAACACCCACTGACTTCAGTGACAGCTGCAGTCCCTTAGGCAAGATGCTAAAGCAGAAGCTCCCTCAGAAGGTATTAGCAATATGACCATGCATGTGAGGGGATACTACATGGCCCCAGTGGATAGAGGACTGGACTGGACTGGACTGAGACTCAAGAGACCTGTCCAAGCTCTGCCACTGGCCTGCTGAGTGACCTTGGGTGAGCCATTTGCCTCGCTCCGTGCCTCGGTTTCTCCATCATAAAAATGGGGATAATGATACTGATGTCTTTTGTAAGCGCTTTGAGATCTAATGATGAAAATTGCTGTATGAGAACTAGGCTTTTCTTGATATTGATGAATCAGTATTTATTTTTACCATTTCTTAAACACTTTATTTAAATAAGACTAAATGATAGTTTCAGTCATCTTGGTGGGATGCTACATTGCCCTCACTAGAAACAGAAGGCGACGGTTAAATCGGTCCAGCTACATACCACATCACTGTGGGAGCTGAGCACCTCTGCCATTCTGTATGGGCTGATCCAAGTGTCCTGAACTGATGCACTACTTACTGACTGGCCTTTTTGTGGACTCTGTAAGATTCTGTCTCTCTTACCCTCAAAGTTGGGCCTCTATGCAGCAAGATTTTATTTTTATTTCTAAACATTAAGCATTAGCTGGGTTTAGAAGATCATAATCACCAAGTAGCATTTCAGGCAGAGCAACTTGGTTTGTTCTATCCCCCATCTGTGTTCCAAAGCTCCTTCTGAAAAAAACATTAACCCTGTCTCCGCTGCTAGCAACTGCAGTCTCTCAGCTGCAACAGAATATCTGCATTTCAGAAGAGATATGTCACATGGGGCAGCAGTTTGCCCCATGTGACATAGCCCTATTGAAGGGCTTAGTCCAATAAACTCATCTAGACAAGGGATACTCACCTGAGTAAGGATTTGCAGGACTGGGACTTTCTTAGGCAGATGTAATGTAGTTAGTTACAATTCTTCCAGTCAAACATTAAATTATCTTTGGAATTAGTGTAATAGATTTTATTTTTTTAAGCATGAGACTAAATGTGATCTTCTGAAGTTTTGAAAAAGTCATGGTTTTCACTGTTGTTTGCATGAGCATAGCTTGAGCCCCCCATTAGTAATGTCTGCGTTGATTTAAAAAAAGTTTTAATTTGTTTTTCTGTAATATGCGTGGTCTCAGGAAATGTACAAAGAGCTTAACCTATTGATCAAACTGTACAGTAAATCAAATTGATTATACTATGCTATCCTGCTTCGATCAGATTGTATTAATTTTAGTCCAGAGAAACTAAACAAATTTTCAATGTTGAAAGTATTTGTTCTTCCGTGGAGAATGTATTTTTTTTAACCCTCCCCAACATTTTAGAGATGTTTGGATATGAGAATTTAGTTTGGATCTAACTCTAGTTAAAATACGATCAAACAATTTTAGTGTAATTTGGTGCATAATTCGGCATCCTCTAGAACAGAGTAAAATGTGATGCTGAGAAATCTGGGGCCCTGCCAGTCATGACAAACGTACAAGTGCTCAAACACAACCAACTAAATTCCTCTCTCTGAATATGATCCTGCTCTCACTGAATTCTGGCAAAAATGCCATCATTTTGAAGCCAGTGGCAGCAGGGTGGGATCCTTGTTTGCTGGGTTCCAAACTGAATTATTATCCGTGCAGAAAATAAAATGGGTTTTACATAGATGTAAGACTCCTCTTTCACCAGCTTTTTCTAGCTACTGAGAGGGTCCACTGCAGAAACTGTGGGTCTCTGGGAAGCAACTCTTTGCCCTACAAGGATTACTGCAGCTCTGACCTCAGAACCCCAGGTAATTGAATTTCAGTTCAAACTAAGATGAATGTGGAACACTAACAGGAACACTGCACAAAATGATTTAATCAGTGTGCAATCAGGCCAAACAAATCCATGAATCATTGTAATGCAGCTGTACTGCATGAGATGCCGATAACTACAAAGGGAAGCATTACAGACTGGAGAGAAAAATGTAAGTGGATCATTATCTTCCACATCAAATGAGTGGCTATTACCAGAATTGTTTTGAAGCTGGGCAAACTTACTTTAATGGACCAAATTCACATTGATGGAGGAACTCCGTTGACTTAAATGGAGTTCCAACTGGGAGGAACTGGAACCGATGGCCCTCTGTTGTACCCTGTGGTGGTACTCAATAGAAGTTTGCAAATCAAGTAGTTGGGCATCTAAATGGGTGCAGAGTGCCATTCTTTGTCACAATTTAGCATTCATGTGCAAGTGCAGAAGAAAAATTTGCACCTGCAGTATTGGAGGCCCTTCATTTTTAAAATGTAGGTCAATGACTTTAACAGGGAAGGATGGGTAGTTAAGAGAAACTTTACGTTTTCTCTTGTCCTCTGAATTGTCAGCTATTTAGAGGGGAATTTGCATTGACTCTTTGTTTTTGAGGTTCTCACATTTTCAGATAAATATTTCTTCATATTTGGTTTCTAGCCAGCACTAGAAGCAGAAAGATCAGGAATCTCATACCCAAGCTTGTTCTTATGGGACTTCCAGCCCAGTTTTGCAGACCAAATAAATTCCGATTATTCTCAGAACAGCATTTATACATCAGGATAACAATTCCACTGAACCCAAATTGAGTCTTTTGCTTCACCCGTTTCTAATCTTCGTAGTTATTTTTAAACAAACAGCAAATTTAAATTTTGTGTCTAAGCCACTTCATTATGGAAAAATGACTAAAAACAGTTACCTTTGCCCAAGATGATCATCTTGACCCAGGCAGTAAATGCTCAGATTAGTTCTGATTATCAGCTTTAAAGAGCAGTCTTTGGCTACTGATAACTTCCCTTGGGATGATTTCTGTAATGCACATTTTGGAATAGCCACTGGATGGCGCTGTTGTGCTATAGAGTATACAATTGTATGTGATTTTATTTGGCTGTAAATATAGAGTTCCTTTAAAGACAAAAGACCAACTTCATCTTTTGTATGCATCATAAATTTGAAGTAACTTAATCGAGGGCAGTGATGTTATATTAGATTTACACCAGTGTACTAAGAGCAGAATTTGAACCAGATGATGGAAAGCAATATTTTGGATTTTTTGTCAGTAATGTTTATAGAAACAAAATATGTGCACCTTAAATATATACAGCAGTCACAGAAATAGGTGCAAAAGAGAGAACATCCAGTCCCAACTCCACCCATGGTGATAAATGCTAATCCTTACATTGAATCTAATAATCTCACCACGATGGGGCTGGAACTCACAAACATTTTTTAGGTGGTCACAATGGTTTATCGTTTAGACCACTGGAGCTATGAAATCAATTACATTACAATTCAAAACAGACTCATCTTTCTTTTTTAAATCATAATTTGAATTTTTTATGGAAAACATTAATGAAGTTTTAAATTTACCAATGAAAATTTTTGATAATGTTTTTGTTTAAAGAAACTGAAAAATGGCATGACATTTTTCACCCAAAAAATATATATATGTGTGGTGTGTGTGTGTGTTTCACAAAGATATTTCATTTTCAAATGAGAGGCCACTTTCTGATGAAACTTTTAATTCAAAAAACTTTGACCAATTTTGATCTCTAGTAGGGTGAAAAATAGAATCATGAATTTATTGTTCATGTGAACCTATTCTGATTAACACACCCTGCATGTGTTCTGTATCAGTATGGGATATGGAAGAGTGTCAGAGATGTTCTGTAGATATATTTGAAGAACAGGGAAGTACATTTATGCCATGTTGTGATTCTTTTCCTTTTCTTACGGTGATGGTGGGCAGGGTGGTGGAATTCCTTTCCATCTGATGAGCATGGCTGCCCTCCACTGCTAACCAGTCCATATGGCACCCTGAAGATCACGGATGGCTGAATCAGTCCACGAACTCCTTCACCATACTCAGTGGAAAAAACCCTGTCCTTTTTCATTTTAGGGCTGTTTCTTTACTTCTGGGTTCCAGCCAGGGCTGGAAGTAGAAGAGCTCGAGCACTGTGTGGGAGGTTGTTCTCATGATCTTTCTGCCTAACCAGTAGCAGAAAGTATGGTGAATCTCGGGAGAAGTCTGTTATGCTGATCCAAGAATTTGGGTTCTATTCCTGGATATCACTGATTTGCTGCCATTTTTCTGTTCCTCTGCTTATCTATTTGTAGAATGAGTATAGTTTTGATAATATTTGCAAACCTCATGAGTTCTATGGTGCTTGATTATTTAATGTCTGTAAGTGCTGTATGTGTATAGAAGCACAGAACAGAACTCGTAGCCCCTGGGAAAGGCGGGCGAAGGTGGCTCAAAGCCAGCTTCGGTGCCCTCCTAATTCTGGGCTGCTTTGGGGGTCAGAATGGCCCCCTGCATAATTTAGAGCAGCTCTGGGAGACTTGCCTGGACTGCTTATGAATAGCTCTGCATCTTGGATTTACTTAGAATGGCGTTAGCATTGGAAGGGAAGACCCTGCTCCAAACACTCCCCTTATATTTCTGCAGTCCCACCCCTTATATTGTGGCTTACAGGGCTGGGAGGCTCATAGGGCAATCTGCAGCTGACTTACCCAGTGACTCTACCAGGGGAGTTCTCCTCTCCTCCAGCTCATCAAGGGGCTCTTACAGCTCTGTACACTGTTTCCACCACCACCTGAATAACTGGTAGTGAACTTATTTTTATTACTTCTTTACAGTAGCATCTTGGGGCCCTGATCTCAGCTAAGGCCTCTTTGTGCTAGGCCCTGTACATACACATAGCCAGAAATTCGCTGCCCTGAAGAGTTTACAAGCTAAATAGATAAGGCAGATATAGGAGGTGGTATTATCCTCATTTTACAGATGGGGAACTGAGGGCAAATGAATTACAAGTTAAAGTAGAAGACTTTGAGTCAGAGTTCCTACTTTGTATTCCCAGAACTGATGCGTACTCTGTAGCCTTTTCTACTCTAGGCCTTTTTCCACTGCTACAATTTCCCATTATTGCTATCATCAGTTGAGTTCCAGGTGGTAGCACTTTTGGGAGCATTAGTGTATACAATGCGCCAGCAGCCCCTGGCTCTCCAATCACTGTGTCTTCTAGACCTACTCTGAGAAGGGTTAGAAAACACAGTGATTAATACCCTGGAACCTACCATACACTAGTTCACCCACCATCCCACCATTTAAGGCCAAATCCAAAACCCGCTGAAGCCAATGGGAGTCTTTCCATTGACTTCAGTGGGCTTTGGATCAGGCTGTTGATTCCTGCTGATGTAAGAGGAAGTACCATTGGGCTCTAAATCTCCTGCCTTCCTGCACTCATCAGTATTCTTCCTAGGCAATAAGCCAGCTCAGATGAGTTTTCAGACTCTTTGGCCTACAGTTAACTGTTTTGTTTCCCTTGGAAATATGTTTACGTTACATAGCAGCTTCACTCCACTTCTTCTTACTATTATTGTTTGCCATCTTTTTCATAGGCAGCTGACAAACGGAGAGAGCAGAACGACCTATTGATGAACTGCTTTAACTCTGCACCAGAGCTGGCAGGAAAAAGGCTGTTTTAGCTCAGTGTTTTGGGAATGGAACAACAGATGGTCCTTGGTCACATTTTACAGATGTTATTCCAGTTTTCACTGAAAATTACAAAATGTGGATCCCTGGAGTTTATACATTTCCAAAGTATTCTAGGAATGGGAAAGTGGAAATTTCTTGCTGTAGTGCTCAGGGCTTCAGCAGTGCCAGGCATTTCACTCTTTTTTTTGTTTGTTTGTTTTGTTTTCATATGGAGCCTCTACAGCTTTAACGCACCTACAACTAATTCATTTGTCCAGTGCAGTTCATACACCAGAGGTACATGTGCTGGTGCCTAGATACTACAGCATGGCTACATTAGATTAAATAGTCGTGTGGTTATGGCGCTGGAGTGGGACTTGGGCGATCTGGATTCAGTTCTTAGCTCTGCCACAGACTGTTTGTGTGACCTTGTACAAATCACTTAGTTTTTTTGGTCCTCAGTTCCCTGGTATCTTTGTAGCTCTGGGGGATCAGCAGTGTGGAAGGGCAGAACCTCTTGTTTCTACTATGAGGTGTGGGGGCAAACCCAATCTCCCAGGAACAATCTGGGGGAAATGGGGCAAGAGAATGCTTATCATCTTCTCCTGAGTATTTTGGTCAGAGTAGTAGGCTACTGAGGCCCTGATTCTATAACAGGAATCCTTCAAGCAGACCCCTGCACCTATGTGGAATCCTATTGATTCCATACAGGCCCAGGGATCCCCCGGTACACATGTAGTTGCAGGATCAGGCCCTGAGTTTGTTCAGTGTTACTGAAAAGCCAATGTAATTGGGGGG